AGTGGTGTTGGTGTGGAGAACGGTAAGAAGGGTCTTGAGGCTTGGGTCAGGAATAAGAGTACGCTTGTGGAGATGGGTGGGGCTGTACCGACTGTGTTTGCCAAGCTGTAGAGATGTTTGTGGAAGAGGATGTATGTATATAGGCAATACCATGGATCATCAGGCAGCCCGTTCTCCGACATGTCGAAGGATACTGATCAAAGCTTTGTTACATGGAGACGGATCTTAGTTCGGAAGCCTGGAAAGAAAACAGGCGATGGATGATGGATGTCAGACTGAGCAGGAAGAATGGCATTTCATTGATCACGGCACCGTACACTCCTTACTGTTGGATCAAGGTCATGAAGAATAGAGAAAGAGTAAGGGCAAAAGACAGTTAGTTAAGAGTGGTAGACTCAGAGATCAACAAATTGCGTGATAAGAGTAACAAATACCATCAAATCCATTCCTCTACACATTCATCCCATCCCCATACCCTCTCCATCCCATCCATCCCCCTTATCCCTATCCCTACACAGTAAGCGTATAAGTAACACTATCACACTTTCCATTAACAACCTGCCGATCCCCACTCGCCAGCTGCAGCAATCCCCTCCACGTCCCGCCATGCTGCATGTTGAAGCACGCCTGGTTGATGTTGTTGTTCGTCATGAACTCTAGGCCGCGCGTTACGGCGTCTTTCATGGTTTTGACTTCGGCGGTTGTGTCGCAGTTTTTTCCGGTTGTGGCCGCGTGGTATTGGTAGTTTACGCTGGAGAGGGGGAGGGGTTAGTGGGCGGTAGGAAGGGTGTGGATGGGGGGTGAAGGGGGGATTGTTGGACACAGGGAATGGGGAAAGGGAGAAGTGGAGGTGGTGGAAGTCGAAGAGAGAGAGAGAGATGACGTACCCGTCAACAGCACCGGAGATGACACCACAAGTGTTGGCCTCGCTTTGCGCCTTCATGAGATTGGATACGTAGGTCGCAATTGCATTCACGTTGAGTGCGACCATGGAGCCTGCGCCCAGAATGGCGATTTGCTCTTCGATGGTGAGGCGTTTGGCGAGGTCGTCGCTGGAGTGGAGTGTTAGCAGGAGATTGGAGGGATGATGTGGAAAGAGACTTCTTCGTCGCACGTACCTGAACTGCGAGTCTTCGCTCAACGATGGCAGAGCCTCTCGCTCGGGGAGGGAGATGGCCATGGCGTTGTAGCCGAGGCAGAGAGCGGTAGCGGCGATGGTAGCGAAACGCATGATGGATGGTAGAACGGGTGGATGGTGGGATGTGTTGTGCGAGATGAAATCACAGTAGAGTAGTGATGATTGAGTGATGAGGATGGTGTGATAGAACTGTGTGTCTTGCCCGATATATATACACTCTCACAATGAACCGTTCCGACTGTTGAGTTGTGAAGATTCGGGCATGGATGGATGTGTTGCACGCCTTGAGCCATGATGATCAAGTGCTTGCACGCCTGATGACAACGAGGCTGGAGAGAAATGCCTCGCGGCGCGACTCGAATGTACTGAATACATGCATGATGCGTGCTGCGCAAGCAAGTAGACCGATGCTGTCTTCATCGCATCCCGTGGAAACCGCCATAGAACCCTGTATGTGTAAGGCGCCCTTCTTGGATCAGCGTCTATACAATATCCGCCATGGTGTTGCACTTCGCCGTCTCTAAGGCGTTCCTTCCTCGGTCTGTGCAGCGGCCCGAATGAAGAAGCCGGACCCCATCTTGCCTTGTCGTTTCAGTAATCACAGCCCCCCACAAAGTTAAACTTCTCAAAAATGGCCGTTTTAGATCAAATATCTACGTCAGCACTGTTCAGGCGTTCTATCTTCCGTCGCTGTTTATAGCCGCAAGTGGCTGTGTACCTAAGGCGTACCGGATCGGTCCGTAAAAGAACCCTACGTTTGCACCGACCGACCCTCCGGATCTTGAAACCAAGACAGATCAAGATCGGCATAAGCTTTCGTGGGGTGGGCTTATTTCGACTGCGATACTCGATCGTGTCCTTGTATTGTACATCAGGCACCCCGCGATCATCTATGTCGGTCCTTTGGTACAGCGTTGCGGCATGGATTCACGTCGCCGTCTATCAAACTTGCTCTCTCATTTTGTGATCAAGGCGGGCAGTGTGTTTGGAGGCCTCATGAAGCTGAGGCCGACGAGGCAGAAACGGTTGTTGGGGGTTTGGGTGTTGACGAAGAAGGGAGGTAGAGCGCAGACGGCAGGCCTGATGTAGGTTGTGTTCACTTGAAGATGTATATAAGTAATCGACGCGTCGAAGTGAAGGTTATCAACTCATCACAACAGTTCCTCCCAAGTCACAATACCCAGCCAAAATACCCCTTTTGCTACATCTCACTTCTTCACAATGCGTTTTCAACTCGCCCACATCTTCTGCCTCCTCGGCGCTGCCGAGTCTCTCGCCATTGGTGCCCCTGAGAAAGAGTACGTCCTCGCTTATCCATTCACACACATCGTCACAGCAAACCACTAACCCGGAAGTCACAGCTACGCCCTCCTCGACACCCGAGACCCCACCTCCCCTCTCTCCCCCCGCACCGACATCGAAGTCGCCGCCGGCTTCGTCAGCCAAGGCGCCACCGCGACCCTCGCCATCGTCTCCATCGCCAACTACCTCGCCGTCTACATCAAAGGCCAATCCGACGTCAACAGCTGCTCCGTGATCTCCGGTAACGTCGACGGCGCTGTGTGGCAGTACTACGCGACCACCTCGGGCCCCAAGTGCGACACGACGTCTGAGTCGAAGACGATTAGGAACGCGGTTGAGAGAGAGTTGAAGTGGATGCAGGAGAATGGGTACGATGCTGCTTGCTTTAAGATGGACCATGGGGGTACTTGGGAGGGACATCTCAAGATTGCGCTCAATGGGAAGCCGATTGCTAGTGACACGCAGTGCAACTCGGCGAAGTTTGTCAATTTGTAGATGTGTGATGTAGTGGGGATTGGGAACAGGATGGGTGGCATGGGCTGTTGTACAAGCCATCTTGGTCTAGGCGCGTGACGCAGTGTTAGGAGGATTCATTATGTATTGTCATGGTTACATTTATATCGCGCAGTTCTTCGTCTATCTACTCCCATCTCTTACAAGTCTTCTTCATCGTCGAACTCGAACACTCGCGTGAGGCCATCGTCTTCATGTTCGGCCTCCCGCTCCTCGACCTCTTCCGGTCCCCCCGCCCCACATTCCTGCTCTCCTTCCTGTTCACCTGTTTCTTCCCGCATATCCACAGGCCCCCTACCCTCAAACCTCAGCGTGCCATCCATCTCATGCGTCGCGAGCACATATCCGCCTTCCTCATCCACTCCTCCAGTGAACACCACTCCATCCCGTTCCCTTCTCCTCCTTTCCCGCCTCCTCTGCTCAGCCTGTCTCCTCCTTCTATCCCTGTCTTCCTTCCCTTGAATCCATCTTCTCATTGGTGCGGGAAGCTCATTCGGCATGACGCCTGTTTTCTCCATGCCCCAGGTGGTGAAGGAAAGGGCTGCGCGGTTGGTGGAGGAAAGAGTTGCTGCGCCGATACTCCATGATGCGCGGCCGAGGCCTGAGGTTGCGATGGCGCTGGCGAAGGAGAGGGTCGCAGTGGAGACCTCGGACAGCGCGGCGCTGGTGTCGTGGAGGGCGGCGGGCCAGGTGCCGGGGAAGGGTGTGGCGGTTGGAAGGGAAGTGGTTTGGGGTGATGGAAGATCTTCCCAGCTTGATGAAGAAGACGAGGAAGCAGATGCATGCTGAGAAGGGGTTTCGTCTTCGTCTGCATCGATGTACGGCCCAGCGGCGGTCCTGGTGCGGATGTTGGCCGGGCGAGCTCGTGGCTCTGGCTCCGCTTGCGCTTCTTCGAAGTCGCGTAGTTGTGCAGCGCTTAGTGCTGCGGACTGCATGGGCGCATTTTCGAACCCGTCGTGGGCGCTGTAGTATGCTTCTGAATGTGATGAGGCTTGGTGTTGTGGGCGGCCTCTCGTGCTCCCGCCCGTTTCGGAAGGGTCGTTGCTGCCTACAGCCTTGCGTGGACGCCCGATCTTGTCAACCATCGCGACTGTTGCGGAATACGATATATGTTCTAAGTACGTAGTATAGTGTATGTATAAGGTTGCCGACTACAGTTGCAACAAATGCTGCGACGCGCAAAAAGATTCCGGGGGCGTATGCTGAAAAGGTGGGTTATTATACTTCGTATCGTTGGGGGCGCGGTGGTGGCTGCCGTATGTGGTGAATGTGAGAACTTCAACGCGCGATTCAATCGGAATAGGGAAGTGCGAACGCCTACACCAACGTCACTGCCTTGTCGTGACGGTGACCCTGCGAAGATGCGGAAAGCTGGCGGACGAACGGCCAACATGCGCGTCGCTGAGACGACTTCACATATTTTCGCTCCCATCGCAGAACCATGGATCCGTGACCGAACAGCTGGTATAGGCTTTGAATATGCGAGGCTGTGGTAGGTCAATATACTGAAGCTGCGCGCGCAGCACAAAATCTTACGCTAAGCGATCCATAGGTGCGCTTCTTGAATATGAAGTTATCGCGGCAGGTTTGCTGAGGCGGTTGCGGGTTTGAGCACTAAAAGCGGTATTGTCGCAGTGAATGTCGCAGCACGTGACTACGCGCGCCGTCACCTAGCTGCGCCACCCAGCGCCACCACGAGGAATTATCTCGCAATGAAATGTTCAGATGCGCAATTTGGACAAGATTTGCGACACATTCATTGCTTTTGGTGTCGCCTGCGCCGAGATCGCGTTTTACATTGTGCTTGCGACCCATAACCACATAGTGAATACCTACGTCTAGGCAATCACAACACGACCTCGATATAAGACCGCGATACCCCGCTCTTGACAAAACAACGCGACAGCTCCGACCATCAGTCTTTATATACCACCCGCTTCCTGCATTCTACGCATTACCACACCCGCTTGTACTCCGAAGCACACTCACCGTCAACACTCTTTGTCAATACCAACACACTTCACACTCTTTCACGACCACTCACACGATGTCTTCCGGCCATTCCAACAACCAGCAGGCCGCGCTCAAGATGCGCCCCGTCACCGGTAAGCACCTCCGCGCGCGCGCCTCTGTGAATCTTTCCGTATACTGACTTGTCGCACAGGAGCTTTCTTGCTCAAGCAGAGTCCTCATCATCTCTCGCATGACATCAAGGACATCCTCGAGAAGCATGGCGTCAAGCTCCCCCCCGGCTGTTCCCAGGAGCTCACCCGATACCTCAACGACAAGCTTGAGGCGTACCCCATCCCTTTCGACCCCAAACGTCCCAACCTTCAGGCGGATCTCGACAACAGTGCTCGTCTTCGCGATAGGAGGGCTCAGCTCAAGGATCAGGGCGCGACTCCAAACTCACCCGCGAAGACGCTTCCTCGATCGCGTCCCGACACCTTCTCGCGGTTCGGCAGGCCTCGCAACATCAACGAGTCTTTCATGTACGTTCCGTGGGACGAGCCAGTCTCGCCATCCATGTTGCAACCGCCGATGCCCGTCAGCGTGAACTCGCTGCTTCAGGGCTGGCCTCTGAAAGAGAAGTCGATCGCAGCTGTGAAGACGCCGACCAAGGTCGAGAAAGAGCAGTCTGCACAGGCCGAGATCAAGAACTCCGTTAAGATCGCGAAAGAGACTCCCGTCAAGGTCGAGATTGATGGACCCCTTAAGACTAAGATCGAATCGGCCAACACCACGAGGTCGACCTCATTGAATCAAGGGCGCGCCGACGACTATCTCGATGTCGCGACAGAAAAGATCATCAAGCGCGCACCTCTCGCTACCACAAAGGACAACCCTGTGAAGGTAGAAGATAGCGTTGGCAGCGACGTCCAGCGCCATAGTCAGATTCATCGCACCGTCGACTCCAAGTCTCCGCCTGCCCCCGTCGTCAAGCCCGAAACGGCAACCACCACGAGCGCCAAGCGCACCCTCAAAGCTTTCGAGGATATGGACCCCGACGCCGTCTCGTTCGCTTCTGACAACCTCGGCGCTGTCAAGAAGACCCGCCCCGCTGTCAAGCAGACACCGTCCTCCGCACCCGCCATCAAAGTCGAGGACGCCACCTCCGGCTTCCAGAGCTCCTTCGGCTCCTCCAACTCTTCGGGCTTCCGGTCCTCGGTATCAGATGTCAAGCAGGAGTTCCAGGAAACGCCTGACACTACGTACCTTGGTGAGTCGCAGCAGACTCTGGGCCGGTCGCAGAGCCCTTTCAGCCAGACCCAAGATTTCCCGAACTCTTTCTCCCGCAGCCGGTTCGGCAGCCAATCCTTCCTGAGCCCTCCCGATTCAGCGATCTCACAGACGTCCGGACGTGTCGAGATCAACCCGCGTCGCTCTGCTCGACTATCCCAGGCTAAGATGACCGCTGCCGGCTCGTCAGCCCCGTCAGCTTCCGCCCCGTCAGCTCCTCCAGCTCCGTCGCCTACGCCATCTTCCGCCTCTTCTCTTGGTGTCAAGCGCCGTCGCTCCGCCAGCGTCACAGACGACGTAGAGCAAGTAGAGCGCCAGGGTCGCAACAAGAAGTTCGTGACCAAGGAGGTGGTCGCAAAACAACGCGAAGCTCGCCACAATGAGGACGCAAAGGATCAAAAGCGCAGTAGCGCCCAGCGTCGTGCCTCGGTACTTCGTCGTCGCCCGATCTAGAGAGCGCAATTTTCCAGGCTGTCTTCACCAGCCACCGGGTGGATATCCCATCAAGATACCAGACCAACGTGGCCAACATGCCTGCACCAGCTTAGTAACCAACAACTCACATGCATCGAAGTCCAAGAGGATTTCATCGCTCACCACGTCTTGACTGGGTCAGGCCGACCTACATTCCGATCGAAAGCCAAAAGAGCTTCCTTCGTCGATGACTGCGCGCATCCATCCAAGCTATCCCTACACTCGTTCCGGCCAATCATGCCAGAGAACATCGACGGCCGTCAGTCAAGGTGGTGAAAAGTCCAGAGAGACTTCACCACCCAGTCGACCAGGTGCAAGCTCAAGAGCTCACCTCTACTACCCCATCGCCGCGCCCAGAGAGACGCGCCCATCGGGATCATACCTACTGCAATGGCTCAGCTGAATCCGTCCAGAGAGACTTGACAGCTGACGACCGAGATGAGTTCAAGACCCAGAGAGGCTCGAACCGCCGGTCGGGATGAGCGCAAGTCCAAAGGTCTTGACGACTCATCGGCCATCCACCACCAAGATACTTGGTGGATACTAGCTGGAGATAGTTGGGGCACAAAAGTGCTTCCATCCCCCAGCTGCGATGAGATCAAGGCCACAGAAGTGGCTTGGCTCTTCTGCCACCCCCTCACCGACCCTTATCGTCAAGCGATGTTGAGTCGACTGGAATTTCACAGGACTCTTATCGCTTTCGCACTGAGCGCAAGTCAAGAAGGCTTGCCCTACAGTTCTTTCATCTCTTTTATGTATCTTGCTTCATGTTTGGGCGTTCTGCTGCTTTGCTGTTGCTGCCGAGCTGTTTACATGTGTCTCATTCTTTCCTTTGTCGTGTCTTGTGTTATTGCGATTGGTACAAAAATGTCTCGTCCATAATGTATATGCATTCACAAAAGTGATAGTATAATAAAAGTTCATGAAGACAGTCAACGTGCGTCGATGCAAATGTGATGTGGTGACTTCGGCTCTCCGCCCGCGTATCCCCCGCCTCCGCATGCAGGTCAGATTAAAGTTTAGCGCACCAATACGCGGTCAGCATCGCGACCAACTGCATGCACAGCGGCTTCCTCATTTATGGTGTTACGCCCTGGTTGAAGTCGCACAGCATTGTTCCTTCTTACATCGCTTAAAGCGCATACCCCGCCGCTTTTATCTCTCAGCACAATGCAACTCCACTCCTGCCTCCTCACGGCCTTCGTCGCGCTCTTTAGCATTGCTTCTTCCTTCACAATGTCCACTTCAACGCCCAACTCCACCGATGCATCACCAGTGACGCGCATAGCGACGTTTCGCTTCCTCCCTAACGTGACTGCGGAGCAAAAAGGCGACCGCGCATCTGCTTTTCTCGCACTTTACGCTGAGCACCCGGAACTACTAGTCGAAGGACCGAAGGGAGGTCGGCCGCTGAATACGCCATTGAACCTGACCAACGTGAAGAGGGAGAGTGTGTGGGACTTGGGTTTCGTTGTAGTTTTCAAGGTATTGAATGGATGGTGACGCGACCGCATCACGAGTGCTGACAATGAGTAGGATGAAGCCTCGAGACAGGTGTTCGATAAAGATCCGACGCACGATAAGCTGAAGGTATGTGTCGTCTCCATCGTTGTAGAAGGATTGAAGCTGACATCGCGGAAGAATGAGACGGACCCGTTGCTCGAGCAGGTGTTTGTGTATGACTTTGTTGCGCAGCCCAATTTGGGGTGGTGATGGCGGCGTGGATGCCGGAATTGGTCTCGCATGGCCAGATGTCGTGTCGAAGCTTGCAGCACAGGAATCATCGTATTTTAACACTTAGACAATCTGTAAAGCCTTGTATGCACCTGGCGGTGCTGCCGTTTGCTCTGACGTATCTCCGTTCTCGGCGCTAGCGTATCGGATCTGCCTAGATGTTAAAAGGTCGACAGCTTCCTCACTTTCTCACTTAACCTTACCACTCTGCAATTGAATTCAGGATGGCGGAATCTTACCTCGAGCCATTGCGCCACCTCACCAAGAATGGCTTCGACGATGCGCGCTTGCTACTTCTTCAAGGCCTCAGTCGCGAGCAGCGCAGTGCCTTGATTCAGGAAGGTATGAAGCGCTTCACTACCGACGAAGCATCCGTGCAGTTGTGTCTCCGTATGCTCGATTCGCTGCAACAACCAGAAGAGCGGGCGGCGTCTGAGCTGCCCATTGAAAGGAACGGTAAGAGATGAAGCATTGAGTGAGAAGCAGACACTGAATTGTTGTATCACAGACACTCAGCAGCCTAGCAACATGCAAGCCGCGCCCGCACCCGCACTCGCCGCGCATATCCCTCCAACCTTCGGCATGGCACCACCGAGGCACCAAACCAAACGGAAAGCCACGGAAAACGTAGACCCCTCCAACGACCGTGCTCACAAAGCGCCCGTGCTCAACACGACATGTTATGGTGGCAGCAGCTGTTCCAATGGGGACGAAGACGACGATGAAGACTGGGAGGGTATGACTGCGAAACTTGACAATGCTCTACGGGATGATACTCCTGCGGTCGCCAACGCCAACATCAATGTCATCGACAGACGCTCCACAACCCTGGCTATGCCTGTCCTGAAGATAGGTGCATGGGTTATCAACGCTGTCGGGCTTGAAGAATGGCAGCTGCTCGACGATGTTGAGTCGGGTAAGAATATCTATGCAAGGTTCTTGACAGACTTCGCTGCCAACCAATGCAAGCGTGCGACATATAAAGCGGTAGCTTGGAACGTAGCACATTATATCACTGAAGGTAAATGCGCCAAAATCGCCATGTGGCAGAGGGGCTGTGCTCAAATGACCTTTGAGAAGGCTTTTGGAAACAAGCAAAGGGCTTGCGACACCTGCATACGCACAAAGCGCCTATGTGTACGGGTCGTAGCTGATGGCTTCGGTACAAAGCTCTGCGCCTACCCGCTACCCGATGCATGCCTTGAGGACAAGTCGCTGCATTCTATCGCTGAATGGGTCATTGGAGGATAACGACAAAGGGGTCAGGCGGCGGGAAAGAAACTGTGAGTATGCTGGAGTCTACATTAGTTTCAAAACGAAAGTTGTCGAAGTCCTAACGCAATGTAGACTTAGAGGCCACCTCCTTCTATCAATCGCTGAAGCTGGGTGTTCAGTCTGTGAATTGAACAGAACGACCACACCGCAGATCATCATGCTTCTGCCGTATCGTGGGAAAGATGAAGGGGGGTTAGAAGGAAATGGACGAGAGACGGAAGACAAAATGTGGTTTCAACGATGACGACACCACCGGCTGACTCATGCGGCGAGCGGTTAGAGTCATTAACGTTACTGAGAATAATACAATCCCTCTACTGAAGCGCAAGCTCATCTTTGAGATCGTTGATGAGAGACCGTGAGGTGCAGAGCTGTGTGTGAGAGATCGGGCATGATGCGATGCGGATTCGCAAACCTTTGGTGTTCGTCGGTCCGAGCTTCAGACGATGCGCTAGTCCTTAGCTCCGCCGGGGAATGCCGCCCGGCGTCATCAACAAACATCCGGTGCCGGCTACTCACCTCGCACCACAGCAACACTAACGTGTGCGCATCTACACGATGACGAGCTCGTATCTGAAGGCGCTACTTAAACTGTCCGGTGATGAAGCGCTCGCCGATGCGCGCATGAGGCTCATTGATGGCCTAAACTGGGAAGAGCTGGAAATCGTTGCCGTCGAAGGGATAACCGGATGTACCAACCGAAAGATACGAGAGCGATTGGTCTGCGCGATGCTCAATATCCTGAAAGAGAATCCGAACGTCGAGCCGTTGACACTTCCGAAGACTGGTAAATAAAAGATCCTTGACATATGAGACAAGAGCTTATGTACATCTACGCAGAATACCTGGGTTCCGCACCTGTCGCACATCCAGGCGCACTCCGGAAACACAATACAGAAACCATGACGGCAACAACCACGTCGGTGGCCAAGCGAAAGCGCACCGTCCCCGATTCGGATAGCGAGCCGCAGCAAGCTGCTTGGAAGGCAATCAAGAATGAGCCGATTCGTGAATCATCATGCAACACCATTGATCTACGTGAAGACGAGGACAAGGCCGAGGACACGAGTGACACGAATAGGATGCAGATGATTTTACGACAAAACGGCGATCATCCACCAATACTACCGAGGATTATCGACCTAGAAGAGCCTGTTAAAGATGAGGATGAAAGAAGTTCAGCAGCGCCACCAGTGATGCTGTCCTCGAACCAAAATTCTACGACGGATTTGAACTTCATCGCATTTCCTATCACATTTCCCGCAGGCTCCGTAAGCGACCCAAATCCCAGACTGAGAATAGGTATATGGGCTCCGGATCCCCATGGAGGTGGCGCCTGGCTACCTCTCCATAACCTAGCAGGTGGAGACGGTCGAGCGATCCACGCAAAGTTCATTGAAGACTACATTCCGCATTCGAAAACAGGTCAAATGTATCGGACAATAGTGGGATATACAGAGCGATTCATGCAGAGGGGAATGTGTGTCAACCACTATTTGTACCGCAGTACAGGCGCATCAAAGTACACTTCAGCCGAAGGAGACAAGGACAGGGCTTGTGACCATTGCAATGGCCGGATGCGTCTATGTGTCAGAGTCATCCTGGACGCCGTGGGTCCCAAGCTGTGCATATTTCCCTTGCACGATAAGTTTCGCGCAGGCCAGACCTCGGTGTCGCTCGGCGCGTATGTCAGAACTAACGGAGTCCCTTTCAAATTTGGGGAGGGGAATGCGCGTAGACCATTAGGTATCCCGAGCTTCTCTATCTCCCAATGAGCAGTCATATGCGGCACATCAAGCGTCTCACAATGCATATCGAGGAGCGAGAGAGAAGAGCGGCACGGGAGAAATGAGCCACATCGGAAAAGATCTATAGGCAGCTACGGAATGTTCATCCAGCGTTCATGCCGAAGCAACCACCCGCCATGGGCTTCCGAACACACACCATCCAATTCTCATCGACGAATCAACCTTCACCTTCACCTTCTCCATCGTCTCGACACTGCCCCCACGAAGTCCCACAATCCAAATTGTGGAAGACTAAAGCTCACCGAGAAGATCGAGAGTATTGTTCAAGCTTTTCCCGGAGAAGATACCAAAGTCTTGCTCGCATACCATTCCTTCTTCCGGCATGGTTCCGTTCACGAAATACGCAGCGGTTGCGATCATGGCGCAGGTTCCGGGGCTGTACATAACCGTGTGCTAGCAATCTCGTTAGCCATTGTCTCTCTTGAACAAACTATACCCATCCATGAAGCAAACAAATGCTGTTTAACTCACTCCGAGACCATTGTGCTGAAGCACAACACTTCCTTCGAGCGTCTTGTTCGCCGCATAAGCCCCAGAGATCGGAGTGCGAACGTCATATGGCGAACCGATGAGCAACACGGGGTTCTTCGTCTTCGCCTTGAAGTCACCCTCGTACCGCTCTTTCGCCTTAACCTTCCATAGCGAGCACATAATATACGCGCCGACAGTGTAATCGCTGTTCCAATCACCCAACTCCGTTACGTGCTGGACACGTTTCTCGATATCGGCGAGCTCGTCGGCACGGAACATGGCATCGGAACAGCGGATGAGCTGCGTGTTGTCTGCATTGATCGCTGCGTCCTGTATGATGAAGGCGCGGTTCAACAGATATTGGGTGTGGTTGTATTCTGGACTATCGCGGATCATTATGCTGTTGAGATAGCCTGCCAAGTAAGACCCGGATGCCAAACCCATGCGCAGAGCGGTGTCACTAGCCTCAGCGATCTTCTCGTAGGTGACGATATCGGTGGTGACGTTGGGACCCATAACGATTGGCTCGCGTTTGGCTTCTTCGCTCAGGTGTAGGATTTGGTCGTATAACGAGTCGGAAGAAATGTTGGGGCGAAAGAGGGGACATGAGGGGCCAGCATCGATGCACTGTTCGGTAAACTGTCTCAAGGCAATTGGCGCTGATTCAGCTGGACCGGTCTCCCTGATGCTCAGTCAGCTTGTACCGCATTCATCTGGAGGAAGCTATGTACCATCCTTGCTGATACTCGAGCGGGTTAAGAACACCATCCAGCATCATTCGCTCGACCTTATCTGGAAACATAGCAGCTAGGACTTGACCAAGATATGCTCCGTAGGATATTCCTAGAGTTGATCAGTCAATAACCACATGTACTGAGACTCATCTTCAACTCACCCCAGTACCGGAGAAGACCATCCTCGCCTTCCACAGTCAGAGCATCAACAACCTTCATGAAATCTCTGGCAACGAACGCCGTGCTCATCAGCGATCCATTTACTGCCTCGTTCTGGAAACATCGTGCCGCGTATTGTTTGGTGTAAGACCAAACAGCACCCAACGCTACATCGGATGAGTTGGTCCTCGTTGGTGTACGCAACGTCGCAACCATCCGTTCCGTCTCGTCGATATAGCAATCTACGGGCAGTGTCGTGCCAGTGCCCCTGGGATCGGGACCGATGATGTCGTATTGGCCGCCTGTCATGCTGCGCAAGAAGAGTTGTTAGCTTGGATCGCAGCATCCAAACGACGAGGAGGAACTTACTCAAGGACATAACGAGCTTGTTGCAAAAGCCAATCGGTTGCGGGCAAACCAGGGCCACCCCAGTTCGTCAAGACACCCCCTAACTTAGGCTCTTTGGTCGCTTTGACTTTCAGGATGTTGAGGGTGAGTGTGTTGTTCTCCGATTGAGGTAGCGTATAGTCAAGAGGTACAGCCAGCTTTCCGAGATAGGTGTCGGGTCTGCCCAGAACCGTGGATGCATCTGTCCAGTTGATCGCGATTTTCTCGGAATCCTCAGAGCATCCGGTATATTCAGAAGATGATTGTGACGCCGTCGCAGCGATGTTGAGGCATGCGATTAACGCGAGGCAAAGGGTCGTCCTTGGAAACATATCGGTACAGTGGTTGTGACGGCCTGTCGATGGTATCGAGATGCTTCCCTAGAGTCTGGTACACTATATATACTTTTACTAAATCTTGCTTTCCCACCTGGTCAGCCTTGCAAATGCAACAGGAGAGGACGAGGCGTCCTTCGCGCAGTGCTAGTTGTGGGGGCCGCATCAGGATCAAGCGCTCGTCATTGCCGGACGTGATCAATGGAGCCACAATGACATCGAATTCGTGAGCACTATCGTTAGTAAGAACTGCTAGGCGAAAATAGCCAGCCAGAACCGAAGTAGAGCGCAGTCGTGGCTAATTTGATTCGCACATACATTATGAGGCATATGCTGCGCACTTATACCGAAACGGACTGCGATATGGCCAAGCTCTCTTCCTAGTTAATGCTCGCTGTTGAAAGTCTCGCTGTTTTGGGGTAGCCTCAAACACCGCCTGCTGTCAGCGCTAACCCTGTTAGGAAGTCAGAAGGGCCAAGACGAACAGCAACGAATGAGGAGGAGCAATGGCAGCGATGGTATTGCGGGATTGTTATTGGCCAGCACCAGGTCGCGCTTCCTTCCCTTGAATATAGTCAGCTCAGCTCGCTACTTTACTGCCGAACCGAGACAAGTGCGCATGCACTTCGGCATCTCGGTGACCCATCGAATGTGGCAATTCCGGTTCTGGGAAGCACTGAAGTATGCAATAGTCGATGATTCATTCAAACTAGATTCAGGGCTGGCCTAAGCAGTCGACGACACCATGCTTCAGTCGGCCGATGCATAAATTCCAGGGCTGCATCGATTCGCCATGTGGATCAGCAGACACCCGCTGGTACAAGAGTTGTAAACCTGCAAATCGATCTCATTAGCCATCTCTCTGGAAACTCCCGGCATGAAACACTTACGGCTCATCAAAGCACTCATTCCAACCAGGTTTCTTCCGCCGCCAGTATCGTCGGAGTACTTCTCGTGCCTTCAACGGACTGTTGCTGCCAAGAAGGCGGGCATGCTCCTCCAAATGCCGTTCAATCCAGATCTGAGTACTTTGCTGAACGTGAAAGCCTGCTTCCACGCCAAGTACGCACAGTGGAAATGTTGATATCTTCTTTAACTGTTTTAATGGTGTAGCAGCCTTCAAATCTTTGAGTAGACGATCACGATGCCGCATTCGCATGAGATCCATCTCTGTGTCGCTGGGAAGGATGTCAACAGCTTGCAAGGACATTATGCAGTAGAGTGCGATTGCAGACTGCCAGATCGATGCGATTGGCTGCCAGTCATCTTTCTGATCCTTGGACTGCGCCCATTCTCTTGGGCCGAAGGATTCGATACGAGAGAGAATGCTGCGTGCATCTTGAGCGTACTGATGCGGGTCCACGATGGGCGAGAGGCTGAGCTCTTGACGGAGGCAGTTGATGCGAATGATCTCGATGAAGAGGCTTGACGGACACAGTGTATAAGGGAGAATAAGGCTATACACCTTCTCCACTTCCTCAATGTGCTGTTCGATCGGCTTGGTGATACTGATCTGATGCGATGCTGGACCAAGACTGTTCGAAAAGGTTACGATGCTGCATAGTGTCAGCCACATTCTTCGCAATCGTCGAGTTATACTAACAGTACGAAGATCACTAGCGCTGATGTCATGTGAGGTACTGTGCGTCGTAGTGATTCAAAGCCACCACGCATATCTATCAGTCGCTTCATGCCATCTGCATGCGACCTCCAGTCAACATCTGTAGAGCTATGTACCTAAGAGAACAATCAGCCTTTCGGACCCGCACGTGTCAGTTTCGTCAGAGTGTACCTCCATTGCCAGGAACATAAGAATGCTGGCGATTGTCTGGTCACTACTGCGCGTTTCCTTCCTCGCGACGTTCTCATTGAGAGCGCGTATAGCAAGGCCTCGATAATGGTATATCTTGAGGCGATTGTTTGCGATGGTCGCACGGTCCTTACCTGGAGGCAACGAGGTCAAGTGGTAGTTGAGACTCAGGCAGACAGTAGTGTAGTGCATTGGCGGAGCAAGTATATGCAAAGCCCACACTGGGAAGTGCACCACTGCAGGATTGGGTGCTAGGCAGTCCGTCTCTTGGATATCCGGATAAATCCTAGTGTTGACTATGAGACTTAGTACAGGTATTCAGTTTAGCTTTGCGCACGTACAGTAATTGATAGCTTGTACCACGTCGTGTGTCTCATCCGACAAGAAATCGTACGACGGAAGTCTGTTCATCTCCATGATCTGCAGCAGTCTCTGTATCTTCTCGAGAGGTCTCTTGTTCGACTGCAATAGCAGCGCGGCTTCCCAGTGTTGACCTCTCTCTACTACTTCCTTGATCTGGTCTTTGTTGCCGATGCACATGATACGCTCACCCACTCCACAGCCCGCACCGGCCTCTGCAGCTATTAGCTCAATGGTGTCGACCTGATTCTCGATTCCCGGGTTGCGCCACCATGCTGGCTTGTCTTCTTCCACCAATAGGTTGGCAAATTGGCTCTTGGATAGTTCGATCTCTTCTGGAGTAAGCTGAAGCTCTTCGGACACCAGCAACGAGCACCCTCCTTGTCCGAGGAGCTCTAATAGACCCGTCTCTTTAGTTACCCCGGGAGTAGCAGCGGGTCCAATTGAAATGATGCGCGCGAGTCTCTCGGAGTCTCCTGCTCTGATGGCGGATGTTGCTGGCCGGCTTTCCTTCTTCTTTTTCTTCGGACGGATCGTCACGTGTCCCGGTTTCACCCATTGCAACGGCTTCTGGTCGTTATATCCCGGGCATTCCTTACCCGTCTTGGTACATTTCCTGCATAGCGGCAGGGTGCGATCGCACACCAGGCGGCGTTTGAAGCACTCCCAACATTGTCGGGTCGCTATGCTGTCGCCGGGTTTAGCGTCCGGCATGACGTCATCGATGTGCAGCGGTTTGAGATATCGCGCGATGTGATCTCCAATTGACTCGATTTTGACTTAGTAGGAGTCTAAACGGTCGATGCAAACTCTTCAACATCTTTTCAGTCGTATGTAAGCGCTCGATGCGAGCGGGGCATGGGCAATGTCAGCAGCCAGATGCTTGGCCATGTTCCTGCCCAAAAGCGGACAAAGTAAGAACAACAGCCACCATAGCCCACTGTACCACAGTATACCGTTCGGGTTGCGCTCGCGACAGCTGTCGCTTTGCCTTCGGGACCGAATGCCGAAGCTCTCACCTCGGCAGTTGGACACCCCCTTCTAGCACGTAATACGATGCCGCTGGTGGTGTGTCACGTGCTCACGTGTCCGCTTAGTCCCGCCCGGGCGGTGCCGTTGCATGGCGGTCACACAACAGCATGGAGACAAACATTGCGTGTAACGAAGATATACAACAACAAGTTCTCCTCTACACAATAGTCTCAGCGTGCGTGGTTCCAAAAGCTGGTGACACCGACTCTATCCCACTGACGCCTTCGCTGGGCCATCACTTGTTTCTTGTCTACCCACGAGACATCGCAGAAAACACGTTTGCGTCGCGCTGCGTAGCAAAAAAAAAACACAACAGGGCTCTTTCTTCCATCACCACCCAGCATGTCATACTACGATGGCGATCTCAAAGCCGTACTCGCGCAGTTCCACAACCAACCAGACACCGACACGCGCAAGGACATACTCAAGAATCTCAGCGATAACCAGCTATCGCGTGTAGTCATCCAAGGCGTGAAATGCGAGTTCGAAAGAGAAGGACTAGAGGAAATTGCGCTAATCATGCTGGGTGTCATCTCAAGGGATTCGCGCTCGAAGCTCGCGCATGATTTAGATGAAGAGAATGGAGCTGCGGTGAAGCATGAAGAAGCCGATGGGGAGTGTGAGGTCGTGATCAAGATGGAAGAGCTAGACGACGGAGACGACGGGGTCACCACAATGACATCCAAACGTAAGACATTGTAACTACCCCCAGGCTCGCGAAATCTATACTGAGATGGATCTCATAGTAGATGACAGCGAGCTTGCTCTGACGCCGGGCCCGTCAACGATAGCATCAGTGTCCACCAGTCCAAGTCCTAAACTAGGCGGAGAAGCATCTAGGGTGCCCAGGACCAAACATAAAGCTGGCCGTCGCGTTGAAGCCCACTACGGCAAGTGGAAGCGTGATAGAGATGCTGCGCAGGCCCACCATCACTTCCCGAAAAGGCCTCGCTGGCGTGTATGAACCTGCTGTCCGGCCGTCGACTTGAGATTATGGTGACCAGACTGCAAGATGGAAGTCAAATTCGAGAGTCTCGACCCCATTGAGCTTGATATATAAGCCAGATATCCAGTAAAGGAAAGACAAATACGGCGCCTAAAACAAGTTCGTTGATGGACATCGCTCTTATACCATATTTTGATTCTTTCTTCCCGATTGAATAAAGTTCATCTTCTGTCGATGCGTGTGCGTCACCTCGTCCGTTTGCACTTTCCCAATTCGCGCGTTTCCACCGCTAGCTTCGTCGCGCCGCTCTGCGCAGTCAACAACAACACCACTTTTGCCTCCGCGTTCCTCCCGACAAAACCCTCCCACCGGTTTACCCGCCATGTCGACCGCTGACTCCCACCTGAAAGCCTTGCTCGCGCTTTCCGGAAATGATCAGCTTGCTAGTACCCGCCGACACCTTATACGATGTATCGGCGATGACGATCTTTTGGACATACTGAAGAAAGGCGTCGGCAGAGAGTTCGCGCGGGGTGGCTTGGAGGACATTGTCTCAGTTCTCTTGGACGTCATCGCACGGGATCCGGCTTCTGTCGAGCGCAGCGATACCACTGAATCTCCCGCAGCTAGCTTCAAGGACGAAGACACTCGGGGAAACACCGCCCAGCAACACGTTGAGAAGACTCGAGAGTACAGCGTTCAACAGCAACGTGAGTTGAGTAGGCACAGACGCGGTAACATTGACTAACTACGTAACAGCCGAGAGAATGGTGAACTCAGCTACACCCAAAGCCAATGATCATTCAACAACGGGTCAACCGGCTACAGGCATGATGGGGGGGACGCGACAACCTCCGTATTCTTCTGACTTCGGGACCCGTAAACGCTCCAGGCACCATGGGTCTCTCGTAGTCTCCATGCCTGATCGTTCTCCCGTGTCTACCATGAACGCGCTCGAAGATCTTCCCGCTGCCCTGCCGGCATACGATCCCCCGAAGATTACACTGGCTTGGTGCGAAGATCAAAGGATAGACAACAAGAAAGTCCGTGGCATCGGTATTGTTGGTTGGTGTGTAGAGTCGGCTCGGTACGATTCTATCCACTTAACGGCCTCATTCATCGCAAAGTTCGACGAAGACTACCTCTCTACCGATTCCCATATATTAAAGTGGGGTCAGCTACTAAGACTAAGAGACAACAGGGTCGGTACTCAACGCTGTGTTAATGATACTCTCATCTTGAGAACAAGGCAGCCTGGCCCACGATCTGGAAGCATGCACGAGGCGTGTGATCGCTGCGTTAGCATGAAGCGGTTGTGCGCTCGACTTGTGTATTATCAAAGATGTCATATTGCGCTTGCCTTTTTCCCTTTGCCTGAAAGATACCGAGGCTATGCAGAGGCAAACTCGCTGCACTATTGGGTGCGTCCTTAAGCACTTTTGATGTATACATAGCCTTTCAGATTGCGTCTCGAACATATAAGGGACTGCGTAGTCTTCTGGAATACATGTTGGTGGATGGCTGTGTAAATACAACTCATGATTAACACCCTCCTTCGTACATCGAGCGCAGGAGTCAAGTGAGTAAATACATCAGTAGCATCTCTTACCTTCCTGTCGCCGTAGGAAAAGTGCTCATGTGGCATGCTTTGTATCAGAACCAACCATCAGGTAAAGGTAGCCTCTTGGTCACGTCTCTCACCTGCATCCTCACGCATATCCCCACCCTATCTTTATATACTGCCTTCCATCTATCTTTTCTTCTTCTTTCCTACACCATTCTCTCATATATCTACCACTACCTCCTCTCTTCCTTCACACTTCTTTCCAAGAACCCAATCTCTTATCACACCACCATGTCAACCGCCAAAGGTTATCACGATGCGCTCCTAGCCCTCTCCGGCAATCCCGTCTTTGCCGCCGCACGAGACACTCTTCTTGCAAGCATCAGCGACAAGGACCTGCTCGACGTCATCACCCACGGTCTCAAGACTGGTTCTCCTAGGGAAACTCTTGATGCCATTGCGACACGACTACTTGACGGGCTTGCGAGGGCGCGGAACGCCGACGGCGCGGCAGCACAGGTCGAAGGCAGACATGGCGGGGATGATGGCGATGATGATGATGACAGCGGCGGCGGTGGCGTCCGCAAGAGTGGTCGAGGTGCTAAACCTAAAAAGAAGACAGACGAAGGTAAGTCAAATCTTATCATGAAGACGATAACTAACATTTTGAAAGAAGGAACACCGAGAAGAAAACGTGGACCACCCAAACCAGCTAAGACCCCAACATCGCAAGGAACTCAATCACCAACTACAAACAAGAAGAGAACGGGAGACTGCCTCATGCAAGATGGAAAGAAGAGAAAGGACATGAGCCCAGAGCCGATGGACGATGACGAAGATTTCTTCAAGGCAGAGGATACGGAAGAGCTGGAAGTAGTGGAGGTGCCTGCAAAGAAGATTGTCAAGAAACCTTCCACTGAGGCTCCGGCGACCAACAGCAACACCACGGCATCTTCGAATAACGCCACCACAACCGACAGCAACAAAGTCACAAGCTCCGAGGACGATGCCATGTGGCAAGAAATCCAGAAGAACTCCGTGATGAGGGATCTGCAACTTGTCGACAGCAACGACAGCGATGGGAAGCAAGCCGATGCCAGAGTTTCAGCCTCTCATATTACCAAGCCCATTCGGATCCCCGACATCGAAGTCGTTTTCAGGATACCTGACACGCGACCAGGAAAGATGAAGCTCTTCCCACTCTCATTTGTCAAAGAATTCGTTCGCAGATTCAACAAAGACTATCTGGTGGGCGATAAGAATAGGAGCGCATTCCGCGACATGCTTGACCAAAAGTTTCCATATGATACTTGTGTACACTGCGTCCTGAATCCGAGGAAGGCTCAAGGATGCCATTGTTCGGTCAGGGCCTACAGTCGAGATTGGGGCAATGTCTGCGATGCTTGTCTGGGAGAGGCAACGCTGTGTGCCAGATTGGAAGAGTGGGCCAATTATAAGGAGGGTCATGCGGCTAAGAAAATCGTGCTGACGGTATGTCCGATTCCTCCCGGTGTACTTGGCGGAGCAGATTGGCGGAGTATGCGCTAGTGGGTAGGAACTTGGGGTCATGTTTATGATGGACTAAAGTCAGTGGAGACTTGAGCATCTTTCTGGGGTATGTGGCGACTGCGTTTCTTCATTGCGTGTCGGAGACAAGCCCATGTGGTTCTAAGTTTGGAAGACAGCGGCTGCTGAGAAAAGTATGGTCATTCTTCGGGCGATTTCTATTGCGTTCCATCTTTGCGCGGCTTCCATCACCCCTCTCCTAAAAGCGAATAGGCGTTACCAACTTGTGGCTTAGCCTGCATCCTCTGCTCAGCCTTCTTCTTCTTCCTCTCCCCTTCCCTCATCTGCCTCTTCTTCTTCTTATTCGACACCTGCTCGCTTGGCACCTCAACACCAGCAGATCTATATATCTCTTCAATCAATTCCTTCAACTTGTCGTGTTCAGCCAGGATGCGCTTTGTCTGTCCCGGAACACCCATGACCTCAGGTATCGAGGGGAAGTCGGACATGTGACCGGCGATCTTGGACATGATTCCGCGCAGCTGGGCCTGTTCGACATCTTGTCGATCATTGACGTCTACTATGAAGTCGGGCACCATTGTTGCTTCCCCGACCTTGATCATTTGGAGTAGCATGCGCAATGAGTAGAGAGCGGCATGTAATCGCGCCGTGAGGTGTACGAATGCCCAGCTGTTATCAAAATCGCAGTTCAACACTCGTTGGACGAGGGCGATCGGAGGCGGGGTGTTCAATTCGTTGAGGACTAGACTGATACCGTAAAGCGGCCAGAGGAGTTCGGTGCTGATGGACTTCGCATCTCGCCATTCTTTCAATCCGCGCATCTGTCGCTCCAGGTCCTCGATGGGGGTTTGGTCGAAGCAGGGGGGGTATATGGAGATTTCCTGGACGGAGATACCTTGTGCTTTTCTTCTGTACTCTTGTACTACCGTATACACATCTTTTGCGGCTATGGTGTATGCCAGCCTACGTATCTCGCGCCCTACGTTCCAAGCTGATGCTTGATTGGGCTCTTCAATGAGTAAGGGCATGTATACATGGGGGAATTCTATTTTGTCGAAGGCTTGGAACATGAATTCGGATAGCCGTACGTCAATCCTAGGTATCTCTTCCCAAAGTGAGCCGCCTGAACTAACTATAGTTGGATCCTCCGCGACGTATCGGCGAGCGAAGTCAAGGTACCGTATAGAATTCCGGTCTACGCCATGGGTTTGGTGAGCTAGAAGCTTCGCACTATCCTGTGGATTCTCGATAAGGGTATATGCGAATGTCACTAGGCTTGTTACTTGTAATTGCTTTCGGATCTCGTTCGGTGAATACCCGTTGATGCCGGTGGATACGTCTGCATCGTGAAGGAAAACTATCAGCGTATCTGCCGAGTAATTGTATAGTACGAGATCCGTGTCGCTTGTGAAGATGATGGATTGCGCATGTAGTTTGGCATGCAGCGCGCAGTAGTCGTCGGCTTCGCCAGGTACTGCCTTGGTCTTTGAGGCAAAGGGCGAATCTAGTAACGCTTCTTGCAGTGCAGGCGCAAGGAAGGCGTATGAGATAGAGCCCAGGTATGTGGGAACAGGACAGGAAACGGTAGCGTAGTTGTTGCGAAATTGCTGAACTCGTCTGTTGTTCGCCTCGGTCCTGGATATCCTCTCGGCTCGCTTTGACGTAGGCAAGGCTCCATCGAAGTAGATGGCAGACCTGAGAACGTGCGATCAGCAGTGGACGGCATAAGCTCACATCAGCACTCGCATAACGTGCATAGAACGGTCATGGTCAAGTGCAATTGAGCAACTTTCCCATTTCGACTCCGCGATAAGTGAAGTTTTCGCGACCCCTGCAGCAATGGCGGTGAAGTGAAGAACATATGTGCGCACCTTATTGGCTTGCCGTGGTGGTTCCGTGTCCGGGCGCTGAAAAGCAACTGTGGTTTACTCACACCTTGATGTTGCTATTCTCCAACGAGGTCAGCCAGCGGAGTGCTTCAGCGACGATGTCTGCATAAGACGGGATTCGGGTGGCGCTAGCAGCTGAAGCGAGGGCCAATTTGTGAGCGTAGTAGGCGAGCGCAGGGCCGTCTATCACGGCGGAGTAGCCGTCTAGCTGCTCGGAGGAAAGCCGCGTCGCATAGGGCTCGAGACGCCTAGCAAGGCCTTGGATACCCATTTTGACCAGGTGGTTGAGGGTGTTGGGAGAGAAGGTGTGTTCTAGTCGATACGGAAGGAACGATGGTATGCACACGGCCAGGGTACCCCCGCAAAGGGTCTGGGGCGAAGCGAGGCGGGGAGTGGTCAGTCAGGAGTGTTGTGCAGTGTCTCGGCCTCAGATGCAGGGCTAGTGCATGGGCGCAGCGAGTGTTGGGACGTTGACGAGAAAAAGTCGTCGATGATAGCCAGCGTGGCGTTGGTCTTTCCGCTGATGAGCTAGCGCCGGCGTCATCCCGCGTGGTGGGGGAAGCTGGGCCCCTCACCAGCTCAAAAGTTGCCAGCTGCCACATCGCCCGACTCGACAATTGCTTCATCTTTCTCTCACACAGCTCAAAGAACATACACAGTCAATATGAGCGTCCGAACCGTTGAATTGAAGCCTTTCCAGGACCAGAAGCCCGGAACGTAAGTTCAACAACGCTGCAACAGCTGGAACATCTCATGAGCTATGGCGTTGATGGATGATAGCTGACATTCTCTAACACAGTTCTGGTCTCCGCAAGAAGGTCAAGGTCTTCCAGCAGGAGCACTACTCAGAGTCCTTCGTTGCTAGCATCCTGCAATCCATCCCAGAAGGCGTCGAGGGCGCGTTCCTCGTCGTTGGTGGTGATGGCCGTTACTGGAACCCCGAGGTCACCCAGACCATCGCTAAGATGAGCGCTGCCTATGGCGTCAAGAAGCTTCTCATCGGCCAGAACGGCATCATGAGCACACCCGCCGCCAGTCACATCATCCGGATACGCAAGGCGACAGGTGGTATCCTCCTCACTGCCAGCCACAACCCCGGTGGTAAGTTCTCCACGACCCATACACTCCTCCCATCTAACACATCCAGGCCCCGATGAGGACTTTGGTATGAAGTACAACCTGGCCAACGGTGCCCCGGCTCCCGAAAGCGTCACCAACAAGATTTACGAAACCTCCAAGACCCTCAGCTCGTACAAGATCGCCGACATCCCCGACATCGACCTCAGCACCATCGGTACACAAAAGTACGGAAGCCTCGAGGTTGAGATCGTCCACTCCACCGAGGACTACCTCAAGATGCTCAAGGACATCTTCGACTTTGACCTCATCAAGTCGTTCCTCAAGGAGCACTCCGACTTCAAGGTCCTCTTCGATGGCCTCAGCGGTGTAACTGGTTCATATGGTGTCGACATCTTCGAGAAGGAGCTCGGCATCCCCAACAGCACACAGAATTGCATCCCCAAGCCCGACTTTGGCGGCCACCACCCCGACCCTAACCTTGTCTACGCCAAGTCGCTGGTCGACGCCGTTGACAAGAACGGAATCCAGTTCGGTGCTGCCAGCGACGGCGACGGTGACCGAAACATGATCTACGGCGCAAACTCTTTCGTCTCGCCCGGTGACAGCTTAGCCATCATCGCACACCACGCCGAGCTCATCCCATACTTCAAGAAGCAAGGCATCTACGGTCTTGCCCGCAGTATGCCAACATCTGGCGCCATTGACCTTGTCGCCAAGAAGAAGGGCGTCGAGTGCTACGAGGTGCCCACCGGCTGGAAGTTCTTCTGCGGTCTCTTTGACTCTGACAAGATGAACATCTGTGGTGAGGAGAGTTTCGGAACCGGCAGCAACCACATCCGTGAAAAGGACGGTCTGTGGGCTGTTGTCGCGTGGTTGAACATCTTGGCTGGTGTCGGACAGCAGACTGGTACCACACCCAGCATTGCATCGATCCAAAAGGACTTCTGGACGACCTACGGCCGCACATTCTTCACCCGCTACGACTACGAGGGCTGCGAGACCGAGGGCGCCAACAAGGTCACCGCCCACATGAAGGAGCTCATCACCACAAAGAAGGACGAATTCATCGGCTCCACCGTCGCTGGCCGCAAGGTGCTCGAGGCAGACGACTTCTCCTACACCGACCTCGACGGCAGCGTCAGCAAGAACCAGGGTATCTTCGTCAAGTTCGACGATGGCAGCCGCATCGTTGTTCGTCTGTCCGGCACAGGCAGCAGCGGCGCCACCATCCGTCTTTACATCGAGAAGCACACCAGCGACAAGTCGACATACGACATGGACGCGCAGGACTACCTCAAGGACAACGTCAAGCTCGCGACGGACCTGCTCAAGCTCCAGGAGTACGTTGGCCGCACCGAGCCCGATGTCAAGACCTAAGCGCGTCGTTGGAGCAGGGAACGCGTAGATGTAATAGCATGATCAAACGAATGTACACGAGATATCACAATAGTAACATAGCACCAACAAATGGTATAGCATGGCTGACTGCCCCGTGGCGATAATGTTGTTCGTCATGACCTCGTTGTGTTTGGGCGGGTGTGTGGCTTAGCTCCGACGTCATTGCCCAATCTAAACATGCTCCGTCCGCAGCGTCTCCATAACAGCCCTCCGTCCCCACTGCGAAGGTCCCTAGTCTTCGACAACCCCCGCCTTTCACACATCCCTACACGCGCGTCTACACCTGTCGACGCTTTCTTGTCACTTCTCTCACCTCTTCAGATCATCCCTAGCACACGTGCATCGCAATCATGGCTGAGAAAGAAGGATCGGCAGTGCCACCCCAGGCCAGAGGCTCATGGACGAGCTTCCTCAAGGTATGGAATTATCCCAGCATCCTCACGTGTCTAGAGATATTCGCGCATAGCGATTAGGCTCGTACCTTCAGGAATTATGGTGGTTCGACTCGAACATGGCATTTGACTGATACACGATAGTCCATCGCGTCCTTCAATGGCGACCTGTCCACGATGACGGCGCCTGCCTTCATTCTCTCCACAAAGTCCCTCACCGAGTTCTCGTACGTCTCAGTCATTACCACCGCCTAGAAGACAACCCTAACCCACAACAGCTCATACTGGACCGAACACCCCTCCGTCTTCGTCGCACCGGCCGCCGAGAAGGACCCTGCCAAGCGGGCCATGCTGGTGCTGAAGTGGTTCCTGAGCACACTGAAGCAGCAGTACGCCAGTCGGTCGGAAAAGCTGGGTAGCGAGAAAAAGCCTCTGAACCCCTTCCTGGGCGAGCTCTTCCTGGGCAAGTGGGAGGACCAGGCAGGCACAACACAGCTCGTCAGCGAGCAAGTCAGGTACGCGCACACACGCGTTTGCGATGGCTAAGCCTGTCGTAAGCATGCCACGCGTATAGTACGGAAGAGCTAATGCAATGCGCGCAGTCATCATCCACCCGTCACGGCTTACTCCATCTGGAACGACCAACACGGCGTCCGGCTAGAGGGCTACAACGCGCAGAAGGCGTCCTTCAAGACCACCATCAATGTCAAGGTAATTACCCTTAGTACCTTTGATGTACACCGCTGACATTTCACAGCAAATCGGACATGCCATGCTCCACCTCGACAACTACAACGAAAGCTACCTCATCACCCTCCCCGCCCTCCACATCGAAGGCCTCATCACAGGTTCCCCTTACGTCGAGCTCAACAGCAGCACCTACATCCAATCCTCCACCGGCTACACCGCGCGCATCGACTACAGCGGCAAGGGCTGGGTCTCCGGAAAGAAGAACTCGTTCACCGCCGTGCTATACCCCGAGGGCAAGGAGAAGGAAGCCATCTACAAGGCCGACGGCCAGTGGACCGACTCGTTCCAGATTAAGGATGCCAAGACCAAGGCCGTCGTGGACACATTCGACCACAAGTCCACAAAGACAACGCCCCTCACCGTCGCCGCCATAGAGCAACAAGACGACTTCGAGACACGGCGCGCGTGGAAGAAGGTGTCGGATGCGATTAACAGTGGCAACATGGACCTGACGAGTGCGGAGAAGACCATCATCGAGACCCGCCAGCGCGAGATGCGACAACAAGAGAAGGAGGCTGGGAAGGAGTGGGAGCGCAAGTTCTTCTCAAAAGCACCAAAGTACCCGTTGTTCGAGCAGCTGGCCAAGAAGATTGGCGAGGGCATCAATGATGGGCAGACGAATGGTGTGTGGAACTTTGATAAGCAGAAGGCGGATGCGGCGAAGAGTCCGTTCCATCCGGATGTTGTGCCGCCGATTTATGAGAGGAAGTGAGCGGATGCGACTGAGATTGTATGTCGCTCGCACACGTGTGTGTCTCGCTTGGTCATGAGGACAGGTGTAATGATGCTTCATGTGGGACTAGAACTCTGCGAGAGCAAGTTCCAAACTGAGGCAAATTCTTGATACATGAGCACCAGGCTCTCTCATGTGGGATCATGATGGGTCAAGCACTGACAGCTGCAGTATAATGGCTTGACGAGCATCTCTTTCATTGCTATTTGTAGTCTCAGTATTACTGAAGAACAAAAATATTTGTCGCTATTAGAAATATGTTGTTGATTGTTCAGTGATAATTTACATGGCTTCGCCGTTGATGATGATACAGGTTACTCTTACACTTGCGCTCGTGAAACTGGACTGGAATCCAGCTATTTTGAAACGTCTTTTGAATCCGTTCTCTTGTCGTTGCCATGGCGCTGCCAGCATTGTCGGAAGATTTCCATCTACACATCGTGTTAGATTTGGTGCCTGGACAGTACTTTGCTTCTTTCGGCTCATCCTCGGCTCACCCAAGGTTCAGAGTACAGAAGCAACGCACATCATGAAAGAACTTACCTCTTGCTTACACGCCCGCCAATCTTTCTTCTCGTAGTAGCAATCTGTCAATTTTGCGTTTTCGTCTGCGCAGCCGGTACTGTAGATGCGCTTGTCCCTGGTTGAGGTACCGTTAGCTTACTCCGCTTCTCAAGTTCATCTCCTTCGTGTTCCCCGGATCTCCGCATCTATCCAAACCGAAAAAGCTGGAATTTTGTACGCACCAGTCATCGGGTTCATCGTCAATCAACAACTGCGCTGCTGCTGCGCGGGATTTATCTTCGTTTGACATATTTGAAAGAGCTAGAAGAGAGAAATCGCGACGTGTAGTGCGAAGATATCGAGTCGCGGAAACTTGCGCAGGGTCTTGTCATTGAGAGAGTTCATTTGAGCACGGCCGGCCAAACTCGGTCCGCACTACAGTACCTAGGTACCCTCAACGTCACCATCAGTCAGTCAGCATACGAATCGCACATCGCATATCAACATCGCCAACATCATGGCGAGCAAAAAGATGAATGTGCTAGTATACTCCGGTACGCCTTTTCAAACTTCCTCACACCCCCACCAAGATTACTAAGCCCACCCAGGCAACGGCAGCACCACAGAGTCCGTCCGCCACTGTCTCTACACTTTACGACGCCTCCTATCCCCTTCTTACGCTGTCATACCCGTAACAGGCGATACCCTCATCAAAGAACCCTGGTTCAGCACATGCGCCCTCCTCGTCTTCCCCGGCGGCGCCGATCTAGGCTACTGCCGCACGCTCAACGGCGAAGGGAACCGCCGGATTAGTCGGTATGTAAACGCCGGTGGTTCTTACCTTGGTTTTTGCGCCGGAGGGTATTACGGTAGCAGTAGATGTGAGTTCGAAGTCAACGACCCCAAAATGGCCGTTGAAGGAGAGAGGGAATTGGGGTTCTTCCCTGGGACGTGTAGGGGACTGGCGTTTGAGGGGTTCAAGTATGCGAGTGAAGCTGGGGCGAGGGCGGCGGAGATTAAGATTGAGAAAAGTGCTTTTGAGGGGGTGGATGAGGGGGTGGGAGATGTGTTCAAGAGCTATTATAATGGTGGGGGTGTTTTTGTTGATGCGGGGAAGATGGAGAGTAGGGGGGTGCAGATCTTGGCGAGTTATACGGAGGACTTGCATGTTGATAGTGGGGAGGGGAAGGCGGCTGTCGTGTATAGGAAGGTGGGTGAGGGGCATGCGGTTGTTACTGGGCCGCATCCTGAGTAAGTCTCTCTCAATCGCCTGAAGCGTTGTTGCTAACATACCGTGGATTCGCGCCCCAGAACCTAAGTAAGATCCCCAGCTTACCTTCATATGCTACCGTCATCAGCGACATCGCAGCCACAGATGCCACTCGACTTGACTTCATGCGCTTGATCCTCCGCAAACTTGGGCTGCAGGTCAACGAGCAGGAACAAGCGGTACCGTCCCTTTCCCGTCTGCATCTCACCGCTCATAACCTATCAGACGTCGCTGACCTCGTCGCTACGTGGAGTGAAATCATCACTGTAGTTGATGGCGATGAGTATATTAAGGGCGAGAACGATGTGTTTCGCATCGAGAAGGAGGGTAGTGCATGGAGCGTCAAGGAGTTGAAGAGGGCTGTTAGCGCTGTGTCGGAGAAGCTGCCTACTCTTGCTTCTGTTACGAACAGTAGTAAGGAAGGTGTTGAAGAGCAAAGCCACGAGAAGGAGAACGACAAGAAGAAGAAGCCCAAAACACCAGAGGAAGAAATACAGGAGTGCATCACATACACATCCACCACCTCCCCCGACCAAATCGTATCCTACGAAAAGATCGTCAAAGTCATAATCCCCCACTCGAAAGCCCTCCCATCAGCCGAAGAAACCCCCTTCCACCACGAAGCCTTCTACGCAAACCTCCACCACTACCACACCAAGCTGCGCAACCCAGACGCCTCCTTCGGCAAACACCTCATTTACGGCGAAGTCGTAACATCCACCAACACGCTCCTCGAGAAGAACCCGTCCTTATTACGCAGCCTCCCCAACGGCTTCACCATAACAGCAACCACGCAAATCGCGGGGCGCGGAAGAGGGAATAACGTCTGGATCGCTCCACCCGGCGCATTGATGTTCAGTACCGTGTTGCACCATTCCTTCACGCTGAGTCAGAGCGCGCCGGTGGTGTTTATACAGTATCTTGCTGCGCTGGCTATTGTACAGGGTATACAAAACTACGCTCCGGGCTACGAAAAGATATATGTTAAACTGAAGTGGCCAAATGACATATACGCGCAATTACCTGGGTCTTCTAACAACCCCGTTGTCAAAATCGGAGGCATTCTGGTGAATAGCAGTTATTCGGGGAGTACGTATGATGTCGTCACAGGCATTGGACTCAATCTGAGTAATGCGGCGCCGACTACGAGTCTAAATCTCCTGGCTAAGAGTTTGAACCCCCCGCTTAAAGACTTCACCCCCGAAAAACTGCTCGCATCCATCCTCGCACACTTCGAAACCCTCTACTCCACGTTCACGCAAGCTGGTTTTACAAGGGAGATGGAAGAATTCTACTACGCCAACTGGCTACACACAGATCAGCTTGTTACGCTGGAAAGTGTGGATGGGGTGGAGACGGGGACGAAGGCGAGGATTAAGGGGATTACAAGGGATTGGGGGTTGCTGCTGGCGGAGGAAGTCAGGGAGGTGGATGGGCGGGGGACGGGGAGAGTGGTACAGGTGCAGAGTGATGGGAATAGCTTTGATTTTTTTAGGGGGTTGGTTAGGCGGAAGGTCTGATGTGTTGTGAGTGAGGGGGTTGGATGTTGGATGTTGATGGATCGTTTAGTTGGTTGGGGGAAACTCGACTTGTTGTGCAATGACTCCTTGGTGGGTAACAAGGACTACGAGACATGATAGGTCTAGTCATGGCACGAAGTCATGCATGACGCTCAGATACCCGGTGGGCATTTCTCCAAATATAGCTCCCGTTGATACCGGTACGAAGCTCGTAGCAACCTCGATGATTACCTGCATTGGCACATTCAATGCTAGACCGTGCACTTATCTCCAGATCCTTAACCACGAAACCTCAAGCATCCATCTCTCAAATCCAATTTTGGCAACCAGCGCAAGCAACCGCCTAGCAATCAAAGTCACAAGCCTTGCACCTCCCATCATACGCACTGCAGATATCCTCGCGACACTCCGCATAGCACTCTTGATAGCAACTATGCCTTCTGCCCTCCTACACCACATCTATTAGCACACTCCCTCATCCCTTCCTCCACTCCCTATGAATCAAATATCAGAGTGCCAACATACCGCACGACAATTCCTGTACTGTCTCTCACAGATCTCGCAGATTTTGCCATTGGCAACGCATGTGGGACCGGGTTTCATAATGCACTGGTCGCCTTTGCGGCACGACCATTTGGGCTGCCAGCAGTGGTTCTTGCAGACGAGGAGGTTGCCGCCGCTTGGAGCGCAGTGCTCGGCGCCGTTTTTGCTGCAGTCGTTGCAGTTGTCGTTGGCGAGGGCGGGGAGGGTGAGGAGGAGGAAGATGAGGAGGAGGAGGATGAAGTGGACGGGTGACTTCATGGTGGTGTTGAGGGTGGCAGATGTCCGTGTTTCGTTTGGATGGTTGTCTCGGGGCGGACGGGGATCGTGGTAAGCGGTTGAGAAAAGACGGAAGGTAGAAGAGTTGGTAGCAGGATGGAGGTGGGAGACAGCAGCGGGCTAGTAAGAGCGTGGAGATCTCAGCGTCTTTGGTCTAGATTACTGAAAGCGTCGAGGCTGCGGTGAGATGTCGAAGCTCAATATGGAGCGGTGAGTCAGGCGGTCTCATCTTTCACCTTTACCTTCACCTAGGACTCTATAAGTTGTGACGTCTATCATTTACGGCTTATCGAATGTAAGCAAAAAGACGTTATGCATACTTTGATGAGCATATTCAGCCTCAGCAGCACTGGTCCCAAGTCGATGCATATAGCACGAGTATCCAATAAAAGATTTCCCTTCTTACAATGCTTTCGTGTCCATGTTAAATCTAGACAGTTCGATTGCCACTTAGACATCCACAAATCCCGTTCCCAAGACTACAAAAACCTTCAATCCATATATCCCCCCGCCCCAAACCCCTTAACTACCCCCGCGCTCCTAAACCACGCATCAGTCATCCCCCTCCACACACCCCCTTCTCATCGCCACAAAGCCATCCTTCAGACACGTACCCACCAATTCATTCACACCCTGCTTCTGGGTTGTCATTGTACCCGGGATTATTGACGCATTTCCCGTCTATGCATTTGCCGCAAGAGCACACGATATACGATTGCCAGAAGCCTTCGTTGGTGCAGTATGAAAGGGTGTAGTCGTCTTCTCTGCTGCAGCGGTCTGGGGCACCGGGCGTGCACTTGGGTCCACGTGCGTCGTTGGCGAAGACGGGCAGCATGATCGTGAAGAGGGTGAGGAGGAGGGGGATGAGGGCGGTGGGTGACTTCATGCTTTTGGTGGTCTTGGTGAGGAGCTGTTGTAGTTGTTGTTGTTGGTGTTGTTGTTGGGTTGGGATTAGTTATGTAATGATGGAGATGTTGTTGTGGTAGATAACGAAGGAACTGTGGATATGAACAAGAGGGCTGTTATATAGGTTTTGGCAATGTTCAATTACTGCTGCTATACGTGAATGACAGACTGTGGAAGTATGCATGTGTTTGTTGAGAAGTACAGCGAACGCATCCGTTGACTCTATGAGCATGATTTGTTCCATCAGGAGAACGGAGGGTAGCTCGTTCGTAAAAGTCCTATGAACATAAGAGATCCCCCATGATCATGGGTGCCAGATGATAACATCGACTCCACAGCTAGCACTTTCGACCGCCTTCCTATACTGAAGCAGCTCCATCGTATCAGACGCCACTATGCCACATCATGCTCAGACTATTGATTTCTCATTAGTGAATGCCTTATAGAGGAAGTTTCAACACTTACTACATCTCTGCCTGGCACCCATCTATCGTCCGATACAGTGTGCGGACGCGGTCTCGCACCACTGCGGATAAGGGCACCTGTAGTTCCTCTGCCAAACGCCATTGACGCAGATCTGGACCGCGTGGCCGCCGGGAGAGCACCGGGTTGCGGCGCGGTGAGGGCATCTGTCGGGCTTTGATCCTGAAGTGGCGAGGACGTGTGGGGTGACTGTGAGGAGGGCCAGGATGGCTGAGAGAGTGTATGTGAATGACTTCATGGTGTTGAAGTTGACGTGTGGGTTCCTGAGGTAGGTGCGATGGAAGACTCGGTTGTGAACTATAGGAGGATAGTGCAGTCGCAGATGTGGTGATGAAAAAAGACAGAGCTGAAGGTCTGACGATGTTAAATCTGCGTGACAGTGAAGATAGTTCGTGTGTGAGTGAGGGTACTAGAAGCTGACGGTGAGTTTTGTGTCGTCAGTGGCATGACGACGCGACGCACGTTTACTCGGTTGTTGTGCTGAGGCAGGCGCGCTCGACCCGACCAACATCCTCATACCTAGACGACCCTTCTTGGAAGTACACTTGTCTAACGATATTGAGCAGCTGATTCCATGCTGATATGTGACGGAGAAAATGACTGCTTCGAGATTACTCGTTCGCGATTATGTGAAAAGGTGAAGTTGTGGAGGCGGACCTAGGGTGCTCTCGAAGTGAGAGTGGATGTCGTGTTCCTAACGCGGCAGACACCTAAAGAGATTCTCCAGACGATACTTTACATGCCGGTCTCCGGAAGGATTTCAATCTACGAGCCTCGTTCAGATTTCATCGAGTCTGGGGCGTATTGTGGAAGGGGCGGACATCTGTGCAGGTGATTGTCATTAGTGAGGTTGGCATGTATATCACAACGATCCCGTCGCTCAGAGCTGAAACCTAGAAGTCCTATTTCTCTGTGCATGCCCTGGCTCTTCCAGATATCTTTGTTGTTGTTGCGCAGCAATTACCACCATGAGCTCGAGTCGTCCTTCCCCAACCCACTAGCTCCTCTTGGCGAACAAGGGTCTCTCCGCGCATCGCGAATTTCCAGTCCGACCATCATCACCAACACCAACAACCCACCTCCGCCTTGCCCCCGCCATTGCGCCTCACACAACACCCACAATGAACCTCTCCGCATTCCGACCGGTCTTCCGACCCTACAAACCCACTCAAATCACGCAAGCGACAAACATCTGGCAAAGAACCGCACAATGGACATGTCCGCAGCAGCAGCAAAAGTCGCAACGAGCAGCCTTCTCATCGACACCGAATTTGCAGAAGAGGAGTAAAAAGGGACCGGGGAATGATCCTAGGATAAGTACGTCTCGCCCCCTCACACCTCCCACCTCTCCATCAAACCTTCCCCCTCCCATCCAATCCCTTCCACCAACCACCACCACAAAACCCGCAGCTAACACCCCCCCAGCAAACATCCGCTACCACCTCTCCCACCCCCTAACCCCGCGCCCCCTCCACTTCTCCCGCAACCGCTCCCTCCGCCACTGGACCATCCACCGCGCCTGGCTCTTATTCCTACGCAAACGTCGCTGGGCCGAAGAACGCGCCTTAGAACGGCAATACATGGCCATGCGATCTGCATGCGAGCACCTGCGCCTCATGGACAACAACGGTAATCTGGTCAAGGAAGAGGAGGCTGGTGGGCGGGGCGCGGATCCGAGTCGTTTGGGTAGCAAGGGCAGGGAGGTGGGAAGGTTGTACAGGAGTGCGATGTTGAAGCGGGGGATTTGGGGGAGTGTGCCCGTGGAGTATGGGAGGGTGCAGACGGATTTTCCGGCGAGGGAGGGGTGGAATCATGGGTGGACGAGGGATTAGAGGGGTGGTGGTATGGATTGTGGGTGTTGGGTTGGGGTGCAGAGATGGGGGAGTCGTGTGTACCATATGTGTATAGCAGAAGGAATGTCGACGTCGTTATTGGCATCACATATACATTCATTGCCGTCTCAAGTTTCACGGAAGATGACAAAGGATGCGTGTAATATCTCATTGGTAGATTACTGTGTTCTGGTTGCCAACCTTGCCTATCATTCCTCAAGAATATACAAATAATTGCCAAAGTAGCCGAATGAGTGGATGATGGAGGCGCTTTCTCGTCAATCATTAAGCCAACATCTTTCGAGTAGACAGACAGAGCCCAACTGACGTATGTTTCCGCCTCGCTTCTAGTTCGACATCAGAAGCCAGTCTTTTCTCTTTCCAGCTCGATCAACAAAAGTTATGTGTAATGCAGTTTAAGCGCTCAAACAGTAAATCGCCCATAAAAGAAGAAGAAAGAAATTGAGAAAGAATCGAAAATTGAAGCCCCAAATATATCGTACCAACTCCAGTGTGTCGTGACTCCGCCCAATGCAGTGTGTGTGATATGAAGATAAGAAGAAGATATAAGATGCAAGAGAAGACGGTTTCTCAAAGTCTCACAGGACAACGCATCCGCACCCGGGATTCTCCTTCTTATCCACACTCAGCAGCGCCGCCCTAGTCGCCGCTTCAAAAACATCGTCCACGCCGTCCCCTGTCAGGGAACTACATTCTAGGTATTTCCTCGCGCCAATCATGTCCTTCATATCGGCGCCTTGTTTCGGTGTAGTAAACCTCAAGCTCTTCTTGCGCATTTCTTCCTGTGCGAGGGGGTCGTCGCGGAGATCTTTTTTCAGGCCGACGAGGATGATGGGGACGGTGGGACAGCGTTCGCGGGCCTCCTCTGCCCACTTGTGCTTAACGTTATCGAGAGAGTCGGGGGAGTCGACGCTGAAGCCGATGAGGATGACGTGCGCTTTGCTGTAGGCGAGGGGACGGAGGCGCTCGTAGTCTTCTTGGCCGGCTGTATCCCATAGGGCGAGTTGCACGGACTTGCCGTCTACTCTACAGTCGGTGACGTAGTTTTCAAAGACGGTTGGGACATAGCGCTAATGACGGGTTAGAATATTGGGGGTACGGCTTATCGGTCGATGTATTGGACGTACTGTTGGAAAATATCCGAGAGTGAAGACGCTCAGAAGACTAGTCTTGCCGCAAGCACCGTCGCCAATAATGACCAACTTCCTAAAGGCACAAGATCAGCATGTTGTGTGGGTGAAGGGTGCATGGTGTGACAGCTTCGGCGTGACCGAGAGTGGATGTCGGCGCAAACAAGAGGATGAAGTGCAGTGCATGACCAAAAAGAGCAAGAATTGAGCGCGAGTCGATAAAAAGTGGACATGGGGGACATGTAGGGTGGCCTATTTTTAGTTGGTCGTGTCGTCGGACCGGGTGCGCCAATGCAAGCTATGGCGCAAACCGGGGTGCCTCAGCTCTGGGTATGCATCGAAACATTGCGGAGGGACAAGTAAAGCAGAATTTGACGGAGAAAATGATGGGTAGACGCAGATTTCGTGTCGTCAAAAGAGAGTCGGACGGAAGGAAATAACGTTGGGAAAAGCAATTGCGCGCGTAAGAAAACGGTCGTGAGAGATCGACATGAGATAAGTTTTGACCAGGGTCCAGAAAGTGAAGATCAAACGTACCTGCGCATTACAGGCTCGCCATTCTGCTGCTGCTGGGCCATTGTGGGGGTGCGTTTGGGGAGATGCCGCACTC